TCATCACATGCATCCAATACTGAAAGATATTAAGTATTAGCAATTATTATTATTAATTAATTAGCAATTAAGTCCAATATAACATCACGAAGACTTGATTTATCATATTATGCTACAGCTACGTCTTTAGTGAACCTAGCATCAGTCATTCACTATTTAAAAGGCATATACAAAATTATATACCGGTATAATGCAAATCAATGTCTATAACGCTAAGATATAACCTGATGTGTTATAACGCTAAGATATACATGTAACCAGATGTGTTATAAATTGGACCACCTGATTTTTGTTCGAAGATAATTTATTATCCTCCTCAGGCAATTCAACCATTTGGTACAAAATCTAGTTTCTTAAAACTAGTTGCATCTTCGACTCTTTCTGTGTTTTGCTTCCACGATGTTTAAAATAACAAAACATACCTCCATGGTCATCTTTTATGACAGGCCTTGCTTTTTGACAATGGCCATGTTTGCTAAAATGTCTCTCCTGTTACAAGAGTAATTTAAATCTCTTCAAAATAGTATGAGTTGGCAGATCTTTATTTGGGCGAGTGATCATTTGCCCTAGAATGTAAAATATGAATTATATATTTTATATTATATATGATCAAAATAGTTTGTTTATGATCCAATTTAATAATTAATAGAAAGACATTTTTTCACACTGATTAATTTAAAATTACTGTCTTGTTAGAGAAAATTAATTGTTGCTACCTATTTTCTTCAATAGTTATATTTAAAGCACCATGCAGGCGTTTGGACACAACCAAAATCATTGTTCATGTTTAGTTTTTAGTGACTGTGTGAAAGATGAAAAATGTAGATTATAATTAAATATTAGGAAAGTATTAAACAAGATAACATGCTTTACTCGCTGAATGAAGACAACTTTCTTAAACAAAAACAGTATGGCCACCAGTCAGCCATTTTGAATCAAATCACAAAGCAAATTGACATGTGGGGTTCATGCCTGAGAAGCAGTTGATGACAAGCTCAGATGATAATTTTTATTGTATTTTTGGACTAAAGCCCACCAGTTGTTCAAACATCAAGAGAATGCAAAAAAATAATCAACATTTCATGCATATGTTTTCCATTATGACTTATCTTTGATTCCACTTTGAAAAAATTGGTTCTGGCATATCCAAGGAATGATGACGGATGGTCAAACAAAGCCAAAAATTTAATTCCCTGTTCTCAACTTCATCTGACGGTGGTTAATAAACAATAGTTCATGGGTTTTGTACATCAGATGTGAAACCCATATCAAACAAAACATGTTAGATATATGTAGCAACACAATGCACCAATTATCCTATAATACTTACATGCGATGGAACAATATACACCAGTATAACATCCAGTACATGCACAGGTATAGGAATTACAAACTCCAACAACAGCCTGACATATTCCACCATTCTGACACAAATGATTCGCACATGGATCATGAACTGAAACAAAAAATTTTTATTCATAGCACAATTATTTGATTTTCAATTAAAATTAAATTACCTAATTGTTATATGACAACTCCAGCCAACATCATTCTCAGCAATCAACATGTCTTTAACATGCTGGAATAATACAAATCAGTTGAAGAAAGGCTTAAAATTGGTAAGATATTAGTTGAAAAGACACACACAATTTTTATATTTACATTATGAAATATAGTGATATTTACATGTTTCACAAAGTTGCCCAGTATAACATCCAGTACAAATACACTCATAGACGATACAAGATCCTGGGATAGCAACACAATTACCACCATTCTGACATGGATTGTTGTCACATGCATTCAACACTAAAAGAAAATAAATTTAAAATACCATAAATCAATCGCTATTTGAAAGGACTAGCAAAACTTTATATACTATAAAGTAAAATTTTTATATTTACATTATGAAATAGAGTGATATTTACATGTCTCACAAAATTGCCCAGTATAACATCCAGTACAAATACACTCATAGTCGATACAAGATCCTGGAATAGCAAAACAATTACCACCATTCTGACATGGATTGTTGCCACATGGATCCATCACTGAAAGATATTAAAGTTTTTTTTAGCAATTACCGGTATAAATTCCAAATAAGCATCATGAAAATTTGATTTATCATATTGGTTTCAGATGTTTAATTGAAAATACCATAAATAAACCACTATTTCAAAGGACTACAAAACTTTATATACTATAAAGTTAATTTTTTATATCCACAATATGAAATAAAGTGATATTTACATGTTTCACAAAATTGTCCAGTATAACACTCAGTACATGTACAGTTGTAGTCAGTACAAGATCCGGAGATAGCAATACACAGCCCACCGTTCTGACACTGAGCACTCTGGCATGGATCCGAAACTGTGAAATAAAAAACAATTAATGCAATTACAAATGCAACAATTAATGCTATCAGGTATATATGAACAATTGAAAATAATACCAGAATCAAAAGTCAGATTAACAAGCCATGCATGGCACAGTCCCCGTTAGTTATCGAATTTAAGATATATAGTTTTGTTTATAGTAATATAGCTGGAATATAAACATGTCAGGAATATGATTATGATGATTGTTTAACATTTAAATGATTGACATTTGTATCTGATCGTCAAACTAGTATTGATAGATATTGCTCTGGAACAGCATTAATTAAAACAAAATCAGCCATTTTGAATACAATGATTTTTAGAACAAAAAAGGCCGCCATTCGGCCATCTTGAATCAGATCATGAAACAAATTGATGTGCATATGTATAATATCATGTATGATATATGTATATGTGAAGTTTGATTGTGATTGGTCCAGGCATTTCTAAGATACAGGTCCGGACGCACACACACACATGCACAGACGCATGGAGGTCAAAACATAAGTCCTCGTTTTCGGACTGCGTTCGAATGGGGACTAATAATCAGACTGTACAATCCAAGCTGATATGACACACCATTGTCGCACAAAAATTCGCTGTGAAGCAACTTGTGCTAAAATCATAATTAATATTATAGTGATTTGAAAAACATCTTACTATAGTTATGGAATTTGTAATTTTACAAAATAATACTTGTTTGTCTATCACATGTGCCATGATGGACAATCTAGGTATAAAGTTTGAAGTAAATTGCTCAAAGCATGTACAAGATGTCTGGAATAGAATATATCAAAAGCAAAATGGCCACCATGCAGTTGCCATCTTGAATTTAATAGTAAATCCTTTCATCAAGTTTGAAGAAAATTGGATAACACATGCCTGAAGTCTTATTCCGGACATGTCAAAATACCGGTTTTTAGTGTTTTTTTAACCACTAACTAAAATTGTCAATGGTCTGAAAAATAATAGATATGGCTCAGTATACCAACAGGTGTTACCCATATTTTAAGTTATAGCAATTCCAGGCACTGATTTGACACTGAAGTAGTGCTAGATGTTGATAACTAACTACACTAGGTTACACACTTTGTTTTCACATTTACAGAAGTTTTTACAAATAATGCAGACAGCATGTCGGCAATTTGAAGTGCACCGGAAGAAAGCTTCGCTCATAAAAGTGGTGGTATACTATATTTGTTTTGAATTTCTCCTCCAATAAACGATTGAGGCTCTCAACTTAGTTTCATACTTCAATTTGCGTCACATGTTATTTCAGTGAGAGGGGCGCATAAAGTAAAGAACGTTAGTTATTTTACAGAACCAGCTGACCGACTGATCATGGCAGAATTATTGATCAAAGTGCATTATTCCTACTATGGGAATATCAGTATCACGCCGATGTATATAACTGAAAGCTGCAACAAATGTCCTATGAAGACTTCGTCCAGTATATCAATAATGAAATTGAATCCATAAGTAGAAAGGATGTTATTCGATTATTGGTTCTCGACGATGAGAACCAAAAGGTTGATGTGCCACCAAATAATTACTTTAAAAAGCTTATCACTGGCAACACACAATGACAGGTCCGGGGAGGGTTGCTGCCATACATACACCGTCTTCAAGTAGTTTTTGTCGAATTTCCCGTTCGTAAATGCGCGGTCTCAATGTTTTATAATATTTGTCAGTTAGTTTTTAGTCGCGGATTGGTCGCTCTTACGCTTTCCTAGCAGGATACTCTGGGTGGTAACAAATCGTTTGACGATATTATAAGCTGTCTGCTTTGAAACACCATTTTGATCTCCAATCTCAGCAAATGACAGTCCACGAAAATACAAATCGACAACTCTTGTTCTCACTTCAACTGATTTTTTGACTCCTTGCTTCTCCATCGTTGTGCTTAAACAACTTAGACAAATGCAGATTTGTAGACACGTAATCAACACGATAACCGACCAAAAGTGAATGAAAGACAGACGCGCCTAAAGTCTAGGTGTACCCGACTTTGTAGCAAAAATAGAAAACATTGTGAGCAATATCTGTCAATCATTCCTCTGATTTACAGCCGATGTTTATATTCTTTCCTCTGATTTGCAGCCGATGTTTATATTTATAGTTACAACTTATGTAAATTTGAAAACAAAGTGTGTAACCTATTGTAGAATGTTATCTATGTCTAGCACTACTTCAGTGTCAAATCAGTGCCTGGAATTGCTGTAAAACATAATTGGCCAACACTCAAGTATTAGTTAGATTTCTTCTGTTATTGTTGGTTTTTTTAATATGCCTGCTGAAGCTTGCTGTTTTTTCCATTCTGATGATGATGATTTTGACTAGGAGGCTTCTATCAGGCAATGTGTGCTAATCATGTAATGATCTTGAGATGCAAAGAGATAACCAGTTTGCAGCTTAGCTGGCAATGGTGGCGACAGTAAGTATCAATAAACAAACAACGAACACCAGTACACATTTAATTGGTCTACATACTGTTGTACTGTCTTATATGTAGCTATGAATATAATTAAATCCACATCAAACACATGTGATCACAATGACCACTATAATAACAATACAAAAAAACAAAATTATAAAATGCATTTTATATCTACCTTGACATTGACAAGATATAACTCCATCACCAGTGAATCCATCATTACAAAAACAATTAAAAGAACCATTGGTGTTTACACATGTAGCATCAACATGGCACACTTTCTCTAGACATTCATTAATATCTGAGGAAGTAAAACAAGTCAATTTTGTTATCGTTAGCAAATAAACCCACAACATTTTTTGGGCTCAAAACTCGTATACCTAATATTGCGAAATTATGTCCACTGAACCAAAAAAATCACAGGAAAATAGATTTAGAACATTAGAGAATAGCTTGAATCACATAATATATTGTGATGTCATACAATACTGTAAAATGACTAATTTTCACTGGGTTTAAATTTCACTGATTTACCATTTCAGGCATATTTAGTGGGTTTTAAATTCACGGTTTCGTCATTTAGATAATGTGTTCTATGCTAAATTTTAAATATTCACTGTGTTTTAATTTAGCGCATTTCTCCAGTCAGCGAAATAAGCTAATTTAAAACCCAGTGAATAATTACCCCCTTTACAGTATATTAATGCTTCAATAAATGACACAAGACACAAGGTTTTGGCAAAAGTGGAAGGGGGAGCGAATTGCAGACGCAGGCGTCGCAGCGAACAGCTCCATGATGCGACTCGCCTGTGAATTGCATCATGACGCCGAGCGCGTGGTACCTGGTTGCAACCTTCCACCAGCAGAGACTGTACAGGCGGGCGTCATGGCTGGCGTCCCCCTGGCGGGAGCCTGCAGATAGACTCACAACCCCAGGGGGATGGACAGCGTGGGTACCCGTGTAAAGTCTGCTTGGTCTGTGGTGGAAACCCCCTTTCCTGTTTATTGCTAAGGTTGTTCATGAGCAGATAAACATGAGTTACACTTGAGTGAGATCGGTAATGGTATAGAAATTGGTATATAGAGACCTTGCATGATGGGTGGGTGGG